CTTCTCTAAAATCTTGCATATAAAAGATTATTGTTTATACAATGATGTAAACATGAGTTGTAATATAATCATTATAAATATAACGTTATTTAAAGATGTGTAATGTATTGATACAAAAATAACTTATTTTCTACAAACAATAAAAAACAAGCTTACAATCAATAGAGTTTTACGTTGTTGCAAACTAATGGAACGTCTAAAAATATCTGCAAAGTTAAATAATGGTTCAAATACTCACGTTTAATTTGAGGAGTGAGCAATAAACATAAATGCCATTTAAAACCTTCTTTATAAATTGCGTCTTTCTTTTTGCTGCAAAGTAATTGTGACGCTTTACAACAAAAAGTGACGCATTTGTTACTACAGCTTTTTATTTTTGTCTTTATGACGGTGTGCTTTATGACGGTGTGCTTTATGACGGTGTGCTTAATCAGTTTAATAATTTTTTAATAATATTACTGATTATTTGTATTAAAGTTCATATAAAATTTGATTTAATATTTTTATACAAGGAGTAATCATTATTTTTTTAAATCAAATATAAATTATATGGTTTCAAATAGACGTAGCTACAAATGTAATTCTAATCCATTGCAATAAATCTATGACTGCTATATACTTTTTCCGACTAAAACGAAACATTAATTCTGTGAAAATATATATATGCATAAACTGAAAGCCATATATAGGTTCAACTATTTTCTTGCTTGCAAGAAAAGTTTTAACAAAGGTTCATTCATGGTAAAAAATTCATTCATGGTCAAAAATAAACTTACACATTTTTTTTTTTGACAAAATTTTAAAAACTTTTTTTAAAAAAAAACAAAAATCTACACCCTGCGCCACCAAATTTTTTGAGATTTTGCACAAATGTTTAGAGACATTAATAAGGAAAGACTGTAAATTTTTTCTATAAAATTCTTATCCGTTTAGAATTTACAGCAAATTGAAGTTTGTTTGATTTTTTCTGAAAAATGAGCAAAGAGAAGTGCCAAAAATGTGTCCGTTTATTATTACTCTTAAATGGTGCTTTTAGTAATGCTGCGATTCTGAAATTTGGTACAAAAAGAGCTTAAAACCTGCTAAGTCCGAAAACTTTTGTTTTGTATCTCTCGAAGCAGAGTAATGTGGTTTATTCTAGGATTCAAAAAAAGTACCTAATAATGACAATAAAAAAGGGCATCGACAATTATATCTACAAAAAAAATCTAACAGAGAGAAAAAAAAATATTTTTATTTTCTTAAAGATAAGATGTATATCAACTTTACAAAACAAATTTTTTTTTGGTGTTTACTTGCGGAGTTATTGAGGTTTGATATCAACACAAAGTTTTGATATATTTTAAAAATCAGGCATCCCAACTTTCTACAAATTAGAAATTAACAGTTTAGTAACTTTAATCTTTTTATTAATTTTTTAGAACAAAATTATAAGGTATAAAAAAACCTTTTGAAAAATAAATACTAAGTTTAAGTGATTTTATAAATTCTTTTCATCTGCATTATTTATAAATTGCACAAAAAATAAAAGATTAAAAAAGAATAAGGGTTAGACATATCAAACTTAGCAAACTTGAAATTAGTTTAAATATAAACATCTCTATTTCCTAAGAAAAACAATTTTTTATAAAGTTGTCTTAGGCTAAATAGTAGCAAAGTCCTGTTTTTGTAGTCGTACTTCGAATTTGCAAATAATATGGACATCTGGAGTCCATCATTGGCTACATTACTGTCCATTTAAACAACTTACCATCTATCCCGTTACAGGGTTGCTTACCGAGACCATTTGCAAAAAAGTTCCAATTAGCATAAAGACCAAAATCTTTAAGATGGAAACAAAGATTCAAAATGTTTTTGCAATTCTTATATTGACCTGCACACCTATCTGAAAACTATTAAATATTTTTTGTTTGAGGTATATTTTTTTTTATATCATTGCTGACAACATCAATAATTTTATACACCGTGTTTACATCATGCATAATATCTTCTGAAGCAATAAGATAAGATTTGTGCTTAAGAAAACCTTTATTTTTTTGTAATAAAAAATCACAAGGTGAAGTGAAAAATTGTCAAGTGAAAGCTTTGTATTTTGTCATCAACTACAAATTTATAGTTTTCTGAAAAAACACCAAAAAAAATGCTGTTACCTTATTCATATTTCTTTTCTAGATCTCAGGAATGATGCTTGACTCCTAGCTAAATACAAATGTGGTGCAAGTTTTGTCAGTTTTTACATACTAGCTAAATGTATTTAGATCTGGCTCTTCATTATGTGTTAAGTTTGACATTTCTGTTTTTGTCCACTGATCAAATTCTACTTCATTGTCATTTTTAAACTCTCTAATTAACTTAAGAAGTTTTTTCAACCAATACATTCATAGTTGGTGGACATTTTTCATATTTCAGCATCATACAGTCATTATTAAGCATTTCAATATAAGCTAACTTACGTGCGGTAACTTTCGTGCGGGTTTTTTTCGAGCAACATAGTTTGTTTCGTGCAATGTTTCAAAATCTTCATAATTTTTATTTTCACTTTTTTCACCTATTGATGAACGTTTCATAACTTCACTAAGGCAAGTTGAATGCATCATTTTTCCAGGTATAAGATTTAAACCTACGGTTTCTGCTTCTAACACAGTATGTATTGTAATCATACATAGATATGCTGAAAATAAAATGTGGCTGTATTACTAAAATACTATAACATAAATTATACTCTTATTATAAACCATGAACAAATCCTATTATAAAAAACTTATTTAACAACTTATTAAGAATGGTATTATCCGTTAAAATTTAAATATATGAACTTTTACCTCTACACACTTTTTTGTGAGTCTTTTTGTGAGCCGCAACTTTTCTGATTACTCTCATATTTCGCTATTAACATATCATGATGGTTTGTGCATATACTAATAATTTGATAATCTTTTAAATTTGTTTGTTTAAAAAGTATTTTATGATCATTCCTGTTAGTACCTTCAATCAGATTTCTTACTTAGGTCAAAGATTGTTTTTTCAAACTCCGTAATCATTTACGAAAGGGCAGTTGATTTTATTATACATAAAAAACTATAATGAGGAATTATAACCTAAATACCTAAATACAAGAAATCTTAAATACAATGTTCCTAATGAGCAAAGTACACTTAAACACAAATTAAATGTTTAAATAAAAATAAAGTTATATTATAAAGAACATATTGCTTTAACAATTAGCTATTAGTTTTGATAGACATATCGCAAGGTTAGAATTATTTTGTTCTATCTCAATGTTTTTCCGAACCGAGAAAATCAAGTTCAAAGTTTTAATTGGATCTGCAGACAAAATAACATAAAATACTCAAACAAAACCAATGTGTACTAATTCCCTAAACAGGCTACCACGGTTTTAAATAAATTTTGTTAAAATATTTAAAGTGCAGGTATCTGAATTACTACGCCCTAATTTAGAGATAGAAAAATGTAGCACACATTTATTTTATAAAATACAGTTATTTTATTATTATCTCCATTTGCTGTTAAAAAATATAAAACCAACTAGTATTTTTTATATATATTGTGGCAAGATGAATGTATATTTTAGCAGTTAAAGTACTGTAAGGTACATATCTGTTTTATTAGAAAAAAAAGCTTATTTTACACTTGTGGACAAGTAATATGTACACGTTATTTTGTATAAAATTCAATTAAAGAGAGAAGATAAGTAATATAGTATCTAAAGTATGTACTAAGATTTTCACAACAAAATAAACTTTAGTTATAAGTTCTAAAATTATAACATCTAAAATACATTGCATTATAAAAAGATATATTAAAGAATTATTAGTTAACCAGCATCTGTGGTAAAGCCATTAAAAACATAACATTTCAGTAAGAAACCCATTTAACAATGTAACACATAAAACATAGATATTATGATAACTCAATAATTTTTTTTAAATATACTTGAACATATACTTGATTTTGAAAGTCATTGGGTCAATTGCAGAGGTACTCTTGAATAAGGGTGTTGAAATTTCAAATGATAAAGCCAATTATTGGCTTTTTTATTTTAAAAGGTGAGTATCAGTTGAAACCGAGGAACAACGAAAAACAGTTTAACCTGCAAACAACTGATCGCACGACAAAAAATAAAGCTTTTCTGCATCATATGATAATAAAAATTTTTGTAAAAATTGTCGTAACATATCCAATTTTTATCATCACTGATGATAAAAATTGGATATGTTACGACAACTTTAAATGCATAAACATGCTTTTAAGGTTGTTGTAACGTATAGGTCAACGGATCAAGCTCGGCAAGCTATCAACATTACAGCCAAACCAAATATTCATGGAACAAATATAACCCAACAATCTACCTATTTCTTCTAAATCGTTACTTTCAATTGCTAAAGCATCTGAATCTAGCAAAATTATTGTTTGTATGGGCATAAAACAATACAGGAGCTCTCTATCTATCGAACGAGCAAAAGGATCTGGAAGAAAGAGTGGCTTTAAGGATAAGAAAGCAGCAATTCGACGATCATCAATCAAAACCCCGGCTTATCAAACAAAGAACAAGTCAAAAGGTATAAAGTTTCATAGTTTTTTAAAGATTAAATTTTGGCAAGCAATATGCAGCTAAGGTTTGAGATCTTGAGCTTTTGTCACATCGTTAACTTTAAACTCGGATTCTTACATCAAAGAATACTTGCAAGCTAGACTTTTGCAATTTTATCGAAATCATGATGTCCCCTGTTATTTCTGGCCTAACCTTGCTTCTTGCCATTATGTTAAGAAAATTGGTACAATTTGAGAGTCTTCAAATTCATACCAAAAAGCTTGAATCCATTAATCTGCATACAGAATCGGCAAAGGATGTTTGTGAAAAAATGGCAAAACAATAAGCACAGCTAAAGATTTGACTAGAAAGTTAACATTAGTAGTGAAAAAAACCGTAAAAAACACTGTGCAGAAGTTGATGTCGTCAATTAGCGTAAATGTTCGCT